AAACTAATTTGCTCATTTCCAATTTATTGGTAGATGTTGCACTTAAATGGTCTTCCTAGATCTGGAACCAATATTTCCCAAAGACCTATAATCTCTCATAAGTGGCAAAAGATTAACATTTATTATTGGTTTTTGACTGAAACGCATCTATATGAGATACATACATATGAGTATATTCTTCCACGAAATCAGCGTTAACGAAATAGTCAGAAGTGCGTCTTTCCTGTATTTGTGAATTCTCCAAAAAGTCACTGGAATGGACATTTTCGTATTTTGTCTAGAAAAGTTGGCAAACTATTTCGCACATTGAATATTTTTGGATGGCCATCCAAAACTGCTTGGCTTTTGCAATGTCCGATAACCCCCATTCAAATGTGCGTGAGGATCGGGCGATAATTACGACCTGCTGACAATTTTGCAGTTTTGTTGGTCCATTTCAACCGCTAAATATATGGCGATGATCTCCAAAAAGAGTAGGTTTCTATTCTGACCCTCATTTTATCCCCATGCAAAATTTCGTAAGGATCGGGCCATAAATACGATAAGTATATGATATCCTGATATCCTAACTACTTAGTTTTGTTAGCTGTAGAAATATTACCAAATGTTTAATCAAATTAATTCAAAATGAAAATATGCCAAAAATATGACAAAAATTGAAAAAATATGAGAAAATTTTAGAAAATCAATATTTTCATCTTTAGAGAGATATTTTTATGCGATTTTTTAGACGTTTTTTCTTTCCTGTTAAGAGGCCATTCTGAATTAATGAGAACTGTCGAAATCAGTTCAGCCGTTCTCGACATATAAGAGATTTTTCAAGCATATCTTCTTTGATAAACATATATATCGCACATATTTTGCTATATATCTGATTTCTTGGATGTTAACATCAATGTTAAGATCAGAAGTAACCTTGTCATGGCTTTGTGATTTCGCCGGGATTTGAAATATTCGCGGTTTAATGAAAAATTTTGAATTTTTTCAACACAAAAGATATGGTCTATTTTACCCGCTAAATATTATCCGATGACCACCCAAATTTGTAGGCTTTTTCCCCACCCTAAACTCTAGCTACATGCGAAATTCCGGTCTATAATTGCGACCTGTGTAGCTACTGCAAAATCCGACATTTTTTTCAGTATTTGGTCCATTTCAACCCCTAAACATTTGGCGATCATCTCCAAAAGAAATAGGTTTCTATTCTGACCTTAACCCCACCTTCGTGCAAAATTTCGTAAGAATCGGGCCATAATTGCGACCTGTAGCGTGATTACAAATTAACATGGACAGACGGACAGACGGACGGACGGACATACATAGCTAGATCGACTCAGCTCGGCGAGCTAGGAAGATCCATATATACTTTCCTATGTGGGAAATCAATATTTCGAGGTGTTACATAATTTTTGGCCCAATCAAACTTATAATACCCCCAACACATAGTGTTGTAGGGTATAAAAACCGAAAATACTTCCTAATTTTTTGATCATCTTGGAGTTTTTTTCGAATCAAAAATTCCGATGTATTACTCATTCATATTAAAAGAAATATTTAGATATAGCAAATTGTATAGAATGACCGATTTTTTTCGTACTTTATGACAAATATAAATATTGGAAATTGTGACCCTTTGTGGGTGAGGTACCAGAAGAGGTCTATCATCTTCACAACAGATTTTGCGTTAGCAAAAATGTTTGGATGTGTGAAATTTGAAGAGAATTGGATGCTTATTTCACGTTTTGTTTTTCAAAATTTTGATCCTTTGTGGGGGAGGTACCAGAAGGAATGGTTCGATCTCTACCATCTTTATAACACATTTTGTTGTGATGAAAATATTAAGATGTGCCATATCTGAAAGGAATTGAAGGTTAATTTCGCGTTTTATGACCTTTATTGATATTTAAATTTTTGACCCTTTGTTTGTGAAGTACCAGAAGGAGTGACGCGATACATTCCATCTTCACAACAGATCTTATGTAAGTAGAAATAATGGGATGAGTGAAATATAAAGAGAACGGGATATTTATTTCGGATTTTATAATCGTTTTGGTTATTCAAAACTTTGAACCTTTGTGGGGGAGGTACCAGAAGAAATGGTCAGATGTCTAACATCTTTATAACAGATCTTTTGTTGATGGAAATAATGAGATGTTCCAAGTATGATAGAAATCGAATGTTATTCTCGTGTTTTATGAGCTTTATGGACATTCAAAATTTTGAACCTTTGTTGGAAGATACCAGAAGGAGTGGACCGATACACCACTCCTCCTTCCGATACGATCACACCAGACCTTGGGTAAATAAAAATATTGTGATGGGTGTAATTTGAAGATAATCGTACTCTTACATCACATTTTATGAACAGCGACCCTTATATCAAATTTCAGATTTCTAGCATTATCTGTTCACCCAATACCAAGTTGTAGTACTATTTAGTACTTTTTCATAATCACATCTTTAACACAATCATACCATCATACATCATCATACTAGGGACCCAAATAAAAAAATTAAGAAATCCAATTTACCTATTCCAAATTTAGTACCATTTAGTTATGTTCCCATACTTCGTTTTATTTATTGTATAGAATAGTAAAATATAGTATAATGTAGTAAAGTATATTTCCAAAAATATCTTCTTATATCAAACTTACTTTTCAACCTGGATACTCATCCCAAATTTCAAGATTCTAGCTTCAGCTGTTTCGTCTGGTCGTTGATTCTCAATCAGTCAGTAATTTCACTACTCCTTTTTATACCCTCCACCATAGTATGGAGGGTATATTAAGTTTGTCATTCCGTTTGTAACACCTCGAAATACACATTTTAGACCCCACAAAGATCAGCATAAAATTTTATGTCGATTTGGCGATGTCCGTCCGTCTGTGGAAATCACTCTAGCTTTCGAAAGAATTGAAGTAGATTGATAAAATTTTGCTCAAATGTATGTTATATCTGCAGGACTTTTGGTATTGAAAATGGGCCATGTAGGATCACGTTTTGGTATAGCCCCCACATAACTTTACCTCCCAATATTCGGTATTTTGAAGATTTTAGCGACACATTTCACCAGAATTGTTTCAAATTTGATATTTGAAGTTCGAAATGGGTACTACAGCCGACGACAGAAAATTGTCTGTGCAGGTCCACGTCTTCGTATAGCCCCCATATAACGGTACCTCCCGATATTCGGTATTTTGATTTTATCGACATTATAACCCATTTTTTTTAAGTTTCGTATTTTAATATTGTAATGGCTTATGACAAATGTTACATACGTAGGTTCATGTCGTTTTATAATATCTACATTCGGTATTTTTAAGATTTTAACAGAAGTTTTAAGGGATTTTATTGTTTTTGAGAAATGCCAAATTCGTTCCAAATGGTGGAGAGTATTCAAAGTTCGGCCCGGCCGAACTTACAGCATTTTTTCTTGTTTAAAATAGGTTTAGTACCAATTAGTACATACCCCAATCTTTTACATCAACAGTAATACTTATTCCAAATTGCAGGTTTCCAGCAGGTATCGGTTCACACACATCCAATTTATACTAAATTTAGTACACATGAGTACAAATTTCCAAATCGGCCTACATACACCAATTCTACAATCCAAATTTCCAAAACTACCTCCAAACAATCCCAAAGAAATCTTATTTCAAATTTCAGATCTATAGAATCGCGAAAATTCCAATTTGTACCGAATTCAATACCATTTAGTACACATATGTACAAATTTCCATTACAATTATACAATCAAATAAAAATTGTATTTCCCAATTTCAGGGTTCCAGCCCATCTCTTATTTTATTTGAAATTCGAATTTAAATTGGAGTAAAACAAATTCTCATATTACAATCTTAATATTCCGAATAGCATTTAAAAAAGAATTTAACTCGTTCTCCTCCCCTTGTTTCTTATAGCTCCAGTGCTATACTAAAACGCCACAATATTTTTTATAAGCAATTTTTATATATGTTTTTTTTTTATTTTTTTTTTAATTTTACTTTGTTTTTATATAATTTAAGTAATAATTATATTATTAACATTTTGTTTTTACTTTTTATTTATACAATTATAATTTTAGCTAATTTTTATATTAAAAACTGAAACAAAAAAATAATAAAACTTAATATATGAAAATAAAATTTACAATAAATAGATAACCTAATTTATATATTATGTTAATTCTTTATAAATATTTTTTTACAAGCAATTAGTACTTTTTATATGTATATATAATTTTATAATAATTTTGAGCAATTGAGACATATACAAAGAGTTGTTAAGGAAATTGGAAATTTTACAATTGGATTTTTTGTTATATAAATATGATTTTATGAAATAATTATGAATAAGTATTTACATAAAATAATATAATAATATAGGAACAATAAATAGATATATGAGTTTTTTTTTTTAAATTACGATATGTTACAAAGTTTTGGCTATGAGTGGAAATATTTTTGTTTTTTTTGTTTTTTTTTTATATATTTTTTTAAGATTCGTTTGTATGAAACCAGCTTTGTTGTTGTTATTATAATTTTTTTTCAATATGTATTTGTTTTTTAATTTACAAATTTATTTATTTTTTTACAATTTTTTCTTGCCTTTTTTAATAAATTTTGTGATTTTTCATTTGTTCACTGGTGTTGTGATTGTAACTTCCATTTCCATTGGCCTTTTCCTCCATGGCCATGGAAGTGTGATTGGGTTTTTGCAGACCATTTAAAAGTCTCTCCATGGCCGGAGTTTTACTGTTTGCTGGCAACTCTATGGCCGGCGCAGTGGAGTGACCATTTGTGGCCGTTTGTGAGGAAAACTTTCCAGCCATTTCCTCTGCATTGTGTTGTTGCTGCTGCTGCGTTGTTGTTGGTTGTTCCTCATCCTCATTCTCCACATCTATGGCCGCATCATCGGCCTCAGACTCACTGTGGTGGCTGGGTTGGGGTGAGGGTGGTGTCAACCTTGTGGCATGATGTAGGGGGTGAGTGTTGGCCAGTGTGTAGGGTGACGATGTTACACGCATTAAATGCTGCAAATGCTGATTGTGATGATGATGTTGCTGCTGCTGCAGATGAGAGTGGTGACCATGCAGAGAGGATGTGTGATGCTGGGATGTTGGTGGGGTACTGGGCGTTGTGGGCCTACCACCACACTGGCTGTTTGCAGACGATGTTGAGGGGTTATTGGCAGCTGCAGCCGCAACTGCGGCCGCAGTTAAACACCCCACCCCCTATACCAGGGATGACAATGGTGGCCGGGGTGGGCTGTTGTTGCGTGCTGCCGCTGCGGCATAGTATTGCATGGCATGGGGATGGTGTGGAGGTGGTGGGGGAACAAAACCGGATGTGGTGCCATCATGATACAGGACTGGCACTCTCACCAAACGTTGGGCAGCATGGGCCATATTGGCCATGTTGGCAGCCTCCAGCTCTGCAGCCAATTGTCTCTTCCATTTGTTGCGGCGATTTTGAAACCAAATTTTCACCTGAGTCTCGGTCAGACGTAGCGAGGCAGCCAAACCGGCCCGTTCCGATGAGCTGAGATAACGTTTCAAATCAAATGTGGATTCCAGCTGGAAGACCTGGGCCCTTGAAAAGACCGTACGTGTCTTCTTTTTACGTTTATTTTGATTTGAGTCACCTTGGGGCGAGGAACCATCCGAGGGGCCATCGGTGCCATCATCCTCTTCGATGATTTCCTCACCCTCATCATCGGATTCATTGGAGCTGGTTGGCAGTAGATAACTGGAATTGGAGTGGGAGGAATGATGATGAGAGAGAAGTAAGCTGCCATTGGCACCAACACCACCACTGGAGCTTGTGGGTGTTGTGCCTTGATGGGGTTGAGAGAGATGATGATTGTGGTGGTGTGAGTTGTGCTGAGAATAGGGTGAGGGTGATTTGTTGCCATTGTTGTTGTTGTTGCCACTGCCGTTGTTGTTGCTGCTGCTGTTGGCCAGGGAGCCATTCATTTGTGGTGAGGGTGGTGAGGAGTGATTTTCAGTGGTATTGGTGGAAGAGCTATCTGCAAATAGTTATAAAAAAGAAAGAGAGAAAATGTTAATATATTTAGAATAATAATCAAATCAGAGAAATTATGGCAAATGTCTCAGAGAGTCCAAAAGAATGTCAGAGAGAGAGAGAGAAAAAGGAAATCAATTTTTTCTATGGAGAGCAACAATGGAAATTTTCTCCGGCGCATACTCCCTTGCTATGCTGCTGAGTAAGAGAGTTTTTATTTGCTGTTATGGGCCCCCACCCCTCTCCCCCTTATGGGGGTTTATGTATATGCCACGATTTGTTGTAACAAACATATAACTAACCATAATAATTGCTATCTATTTTTAAAAATGGCGTTTAACTTCAAATCTGTTTGGTGGCCAACCACCAACGACACAAAGGACCTATTATCTGTCAGTTAAAACATTTGGCTTAAATCACAAGACAAACACTTGACTTTTTTGGGTTGCTTGCAAAGCAAATGAAAACGAAAATGTGTTCTCAAAGAAAAACTTTACATTTCGTTTAGACCTTGATGGGATTTTCACTTATGTGCTTTTCTCCATGTAATCTTGAGCTAGTCTGCCAAAGGAATTTCTTTGTATTTTCTATGGTTTCCATTAAGTGTTGGAGGAATTTCTTTGGTATGGAATAAGAAAACAAAACTTTTCTTTTCTTAAAGAATTCCTCTAAGAAATTTCTAACATTCTTTGAATTTGTAACAGCGTTAATCGCCAATTTCCAAATATGTAGCTAAGCGGTAATTCAATTCTCAAACATGCATGCAATTTCCACGCCAAGTAAATGGCCAGGTAGACCATTTCCCTTTCCGGCCCCCCCCCCCCCCTCCACGATGCCCAGTAGTTTTCAATTAAAATGGCTAAAACAATTTGTACAAATAGTTTCATTAAAGGTATTAAATATCAAAAACGGTTTAAATAACGCCATGCTACAACACACGGAATTCCAATGCAGTGTAAGAGGCTCAACGGAACCCCCTTACCTCTCCACATTCCCTCCCCTTTTGCCCCTCAAACACCCACTTATCGTTTATCACCTGGAAAATGTTTGCCAAATGCATTTGTGTAACTAAATGCAATTGGGTTTTACAGGAGTAAAGCTACTCTCACTGTAATTGTATGTGTGCATCTTCATGTGTGTGTGTTGTGCTTGTTTGTATGTATGTATTTAAGCCTATTTAATTGGCCTTTTGCATTAAGTCGCTAACTAAATTGCAATTGAATTTGATCATGTAAATTGGCCTTAAGCAAATATCGCAACACCACCCAATTCACACACACATATACTCATACTCACACCTACACCTACGCCCCCTTTAAAATGCCCACTTCAATTGCATGGCATTCCATACCTCGTTTACATTGTAAAAGCCGTTAAGATAAATTCCATGGATGACAAATATGTGACAGAATGTTTTAATACCCTAGGAATTTGCTGAATTGTTCGAAAAAAAAAAACGAATAAAAACAATTCCTTAAGAATGAGGAAAATGTTATGACAAAGTAGAGAACAAATAACAACAACAACAACATGAGAAATAGATTAAGAATCAATTGAATTGAAACAAAATAAAATTAAAACTTAAATTGCATTGCGTGTTAGGGTATTTCGAAAGAAGAAAAATGAGAATGAATTTCGAAAATGTAATGAAGATGTCTTATATGGGCTGCCAGTGAAAAATAGATTGTAGTTTGGAAGCCCAACCAAAAAGGAGAGTTGGAAATTAAACCCTCAAAGACAAATCCGTAGATTTCTCTAAGATCTAACGTAACCCTCAGATATAAGCATTGCTGGAATTAACCGATACTGCAGAGACGTACTCAGAGAACATTTCAAAATCATTTCAACGTAGGAAGAGGCTTTGATCCCAACTAAAACTTAAAACATTGTTTATTGATTAAAAATTAACAAAACAGTCACAAAAGTAACAATTTCTGAAGAGGTGCGGTACCCAGTGCCTCGTAGGGATTCTTTGTTGAAAACAGGAATTCGTATTAAACAATAAGTAAGCTGTTTGATCTTTCGATTTTTTCCATCGATTTTCAATTTTGACCACTCAAAGCAAAGTTGCTTTCGATTTCAGATTTTTTGATATGTTGTTCGACCAAAAGATGATATAATCGACTTTGTGAGGGAAGGAAACTCAAATGAATGTTAAAGGCTCTATAACCCAAAAAATCGAAAATCGATTATGAAAAGTCGATTTGGTTTTGAGATTTTAGGAAATTTTGAATCTCACCAGTTTAGTTACCCCCACACCTCCTAGTCCCTGCGGTCCACTGAACATATGATATAATTTTGCAGATTTAAGGGTAGTTTCCGAAAATACATATGTCTGTTCAATCTGCTGAAAAGCTACCTCGACTCCGCTACTCTTTTTGAAACTGTCCATACACAATTTGGTGTTATTCTCCTGTGAGTTATTAGTGTTATTCTCCCCCGACTTTACGTTTTTGCCATTTGACCTCTAAATGCTAGTCAAAATAGTTTTCAGCTCTTCGGCGATTAGGTAGCATAAGGATAATCCCGAACTCTACATTGGATTAAAAATATTTAAGGACCTTCCTTTGATGAAACGTCCGTTTAAAAGGCTTCTGTGGATAGAAGGCCTTCTAAAGTTCTTCGATAGAAGAGGTTATTTAAATTTTCTCATTTGTGCAGATGATTTCTTAACGAACTTTTAGGAATTTTAGGTCATCTATTGAGAGTAGATGTTCGAAAGGCCTTCCACGGATAAAAGATCTTCAAAAGGTTTTCTACGTTTAGACGACTTTCTATAGATCCTTAAGCTTCTTTGCACAGAATACATCTTGAAGGACGTGTAAGGTTAAAAGATAGTCTAAATGTCGTCAACCATTCTTCGTCAAACCATTCGAAAAGTCATGAATAGGCAAAAGACGTTCTTAGGGTCTTCGATGATCAGAAGACTTCTTAAAGGTCTTATATGGACAACAGAGTCCTTGTGGGTCTTATATAGTCTTTCTACGGGTCTTATATGAGTATAAAACGTCTTCGATGGAACTCCTTTTAACCTTTAAAGGCTCATCCAGAAAGCTTTCGAAAACCATTCGGTGAACAGAAGACTTATAAGTATCTTCTATGTATAGCATATCCCTAATACAACATTTACTGATAGAAGAGCTTTCAGAAGTCCTCAGTGAACAACATATTCATTACTACATCATCTTCATGGCCACAATGATAGAAGACTTCCCCAATACAGGTGAGATGAAAAAAACTTCAACCATCTTTAGACCGCTGTCATTTCTAAGCCACTCGTCCGACGGCTGTTAAAATTATTCCAATGACAGCTCATTATATCGTTTACAAGCGTACAACAGCATTTTGGAGAGAATTTCCCAGAAAAAAAAGTTATTCGTGATGGAATTCAAGCGTAATACTGCGCTTTCTTTGAATTTGGCTGGAAAACCACTAGTGGCTATCGTTAGAGCACTCCAGCATTTAAATGTGAATAAATCTTTTGTGGTTGTTTTTGGTAGCGTAGCCCGACGTCAAGGAAGTGGACGGAAGAAAACAGCAACATAAGCAGAAATGGTTCGTAAAGTAAAGAAGCGACTTAGTGGGAACCTGCGTCGTAGTGGCCGAAAAATGGCTCGTGAGCTGAACATATCGCAATATTCCATTGAAAAATGAGCTCGGTGTAAAGCCATTGAAATTCCAAAAAATGCAAGAATTTACACCGCAACAGAAAGAAAATAGACTTAAAAGAGCTAAAGAGTTGCTTCGCTTGGCCAAAAGTGGTGTTCTGCCGAGTTTGGTTTTCTCCGATGAGAAAACATTTGTTGTCCAGCAGTTTGTAAACAAACAAAATGATCGTGTTTACTTGCCAATGAGGTCTTTTGAAAATGTGCTCCTTCGGTTGACCACCAGAACTCAAGCGCCGGCATCAGAATAAATTCTGGCACAAAATCCGCCACATTTTATTACTCCACATATATTTTTAAAATAATGTAATAAAAACAAAATTATATAATAACAAGTACTTACCATGTGTGGGACTGTGAAAAGGCATGCGTTGTGGTGCCCAGGGCCAACCGGGTGGACACAGGGCAGCATAGCGGCCGGCCAATGCTCCCCACTGGGATATGAAACCCAATCTGTAAAGAAATAGGAAAAAAATCCGCAAATCAATAAAGAATGTATGTTTGGAATGAAAATAACAAAAATAAGAAAATTCTAATGAAAAGGCTGAGGGAAATTGTTGATTATTGCATGTCGACAAAAGGGTAATTCAATATTTTCCCTTTTGGCAAAAATGATAATAAGAAAGATTTGCAACAGCTGTTAAATATTTAAGAGATTTACACACATTTTAATAACAATGCTACACAAATAGACACAACGACAGGACTAATTGGGATATATGTGCCACCCCATTAGAAAACAACCCCCCTCTGGTGGAACAATAAATAAATTTCAATACAATAAGAATATGTCTACATATGTGTGTGTGTGTGTTTATTATAGGATATATATAACATGACTATATACATATTGTATCTCTATACATTGTTGTTTTTGTAAATCTGTAAATACACATCTTCATATTTCTATTTTCTTCCGTTTTTTTGCAGGATTGTGTTCGTTGGTGTCTGTGTGTGTGTCTGCCCATCCACGTATGTGAAGGATTGAAAACCCCAGAACATTATTCTTCTTAAGTTTTCACAACAGGTAAATCTTTTGTTATGTTGTTATGATTCTTCTTGGTTTATTTTTTCAATTTGGTTTTATTTGAAGTTCAAGATTTTAAGGGTTGCTTCTTGCTTTTTCGTAGTCCTGGATACTTCCCCAACCACACACACACTCATCGCACATACATTTCTTAATTCCCAATTTTCGTTAACTTACATCCGTTTAGAGGAACGAAATCGAAGCAAAAGAAGAAAAAAAAAAGAAAAAAAACCTTTTCTTTTTTCTACTTGACTTAATAAAGCACTTAAGTGATTTTCCTTCTTTTATTTCGATCTCCCCTTACCTCCCATCTATTCAACCAACCCCCCACTACAATATTTAGCCACTCTACTCGAATGATGGTAGTCATGAACAAAGTTAAATATTAAGATGTTTAATGGATGATTAAGTTGAGGGTACAACAAACAGGTTAGATTTTCTGTGAGGGTGGAAAATAAAGATTTGAAGCTATGGGAAGTGGGGAAGGGAATCCATTTAATAGGCATCGTTTTACTTTTTCCCTGATATAATCACACACTCACGCATACACACAACACACAGACAGGTAATTTTGATTCGAGGTCAAAGTTTTTCCTCTGATGTTTTTCTTCTTCTTCCACTTGCTATTAGATAATTGGGAGCAGAAATGGGTAGGGGAAGATGAGATTTTTATCTACAGACAAAATGTCTGTAAATAAGTTTTTATGTTTTGGAAGATTAACACACAAATTGAGTCCAGTGGAATGGTGGTGGTAAATGGCCTTCAATTGTGTTGTTTTGTAAAAAAATTGAAATTTTGTTGAAAATTAGCAACAAAAGAATGTCAAACTATTGCAAGTCCTGAGGGCTCTGTTTTAAGTTTATAAACAATATAATTAATTTTTGCGATATAATATTTACATATTTTCGATTTTTAAAGACATAGAGGATTCGAGAGGTAATATATGTAAATAAAATAATTGCTTAATTCCTTTTATGAGATGGGGTTTTGAAAATATATTTTATAAGTTCATCGTCATATCAAAATTTACATTGTATTTTTTTTTCAATTGTGAATATCACACTTAGTAATGCACAACCATCGTAAAAGAATCATTTAAGATATTTAATTGCCGTAAACCCCAATGTCACTATAAATTGGCTGTTCGTTCTCTATTTGATTAAAAAAAATCGTCATTGAGGATCCTCTTTTGAACAATTTCGCTACACTAGCTGATCTGTAATGTGGACGTGAAAGTCAAATCTGAATTTTAATTTTTAAAGATTATATGAATGAAAACCCTGATGTAAATGGATTTTTTCCAAGATTTTTTTTTTTTTTTCAAACCGGTTGCAATTTTTTATTTTTCTACCATAAAAAAATAAATACATAAAAAGTCGCATTGTGTTAGTAATTGGTGTTCTCCAGAATGGAACAACCGATTTTGTTTATTCAAACTCCATATGAAAGGTGACTTCAATACCAACGATTTTTATGTATACTATATGTATATTGGTTCATAAGTTCCAGTTAGTGAACCCTGCGTCCATTTTAAAGCATGTATTTGTATGGATATATGGACAACATTGGGAATGGTATGCAATTTGGATTAAGGGTCAAGAATCTATGCACCAAAGGTTATTTTGTTTGGAAATTTGAATTTTAAGTACTAAAGAGCAGTTTAAATCTCGACATATTGTATAGGAATTAAGCTAGTGAATTAGGGTTGATATATGAAAATGTGTACAGGGTGATATAAAAAAACTGCAACAAAATCAACCGCCATAATTTACATTTTTTTAACCTTTATTGAATGAAAGAATGTCGGAAATAGCATCTAATTTTAGAATAAGTTTAGATTTGTTCGAATTGGTCACCTTTGGCACGAATTATGGCCTTCAAACGGCCAATGAAACCGTCACACGCTGCCCGAATGTTGCTTTGTGGTATTTTGGTCCATTCCCGGCGAAGCGCTTGCTTGAGGTGATCGACACTTCGGTATTTTTTAGTGCCAACCTTGCTTTCCAAAATGCTCCAGACACAATAGTCCAACGGATTGGTATTCGGAAAATTTCGTGGCTATTGTGCGCTGGAAATGAAGCAAGGAACTTCATTTTGTAACCATTCTTAGGTGGGGCGTTGGAATGTCTGCGGCCAAAATGTTTACGTGCCCAAGGCTTTAATACAGCCTTCAGAATATCTGCGCGATAATATTCGACATTTATTCTGATGCCACGGTCGATTAATACAAACGGAGAGCGACCATCGGCTGTTATGGCGGCCCACACCATCACCATGGCCGGCGCTTGAATTCTGGTGGCCATCGAAGGTGGACATTTCAGCTGACCTCTTTACCAAGTAAGCACGATAATTTTGTTTGTTCACAAACTGCAGGACATCGATGGTTTCTCATCGGAGAAGTGGCATTTCACCACTTTCGGTCAAGCGAAGCAACTCTTTTAGTCTAATTTCTTTCCGTTGCGGTGTAAGTTCTTGCAATTTTTGAAATTTCAATGGCTTCACCCCGAGCTCATGTTTCAATATTTGCCGTATGGGCTATTGCGATATGTTCTGCTTACGAGCCATTTTTCGGCCACTACGACGCGTGTTTCTCGATCAAGTCGCTTCTTTACTTTTCGAACCATTTCTGCTGATGTTGCTGTTTTCTTCCGTCCACTTCCTTGACGTCGGGCTACGCTACCAGTATCACGGTAACGAGCGATGGTACGAGACACAAAAGATTGTTTCACATTTAAATGCTGGAGGGCTCTAACGATAGCCACTTGCGGTTTTCCAGCCAAATATACAGAAATCACACTATCACGCTTGAATTTCATCTCGAGTAACTTTTTTTCTCGAAAATTCTCACCAAAATACTTTTATACGCTTGTAAACAATATAGTATATATATAGTGAACTGTCACTGGAATAATTTTAACAGTTGTCGGACGAGTGGTTTAGAAATGATAGCAGTCTGAAATTGGTAGCAGTTTTTTTCATCTCACCCTGTAGAATCACTGTTAGTGCATATATTTGAGATTTGAAGGTGGTTTATCGACCGAATTTAGCCATGAGGCAAAATTCATTGGATCTGGACTTTTTTAGTTGTCGATCAGATATTTAACTAAGTTTTGAACTGTCCAGCCTTTGGCGCCGTAAAAAATGCATCATACACGAACTTCAAATCGGATGATTGTTTCACAATTATTGCACGAGTTAATGACTCAAGTCGAAAAAGGACATCAATTTCTTTTTCTTTTTCATTTTTCCAATCGAATTTAAATCCCTAGATTCTGACCACTACTACGATTGCAATGAAAAATATATTCAATAAAGCAGTCATATTGAATTAAGAATGTAACCTTTCAGCCCCTGAAAGTATGAACCGCAATCGAAATTTAAGCTTACTTTCTCGGGACATTTCGTTTTAAAAACAGTTGAAATCTGGATATAATTTCATGCAAGAAGAATTTTCAATTATTTTGACTGATCTAATGTAAAGTTTGGGAAATAAATAATCATTTTCATGATAAATGCTTCAATGTAAACGTATCCTAACATTATGAACTTGTCTTTGGCCTTTGTACGCTAGCAATGACTCGGTCAGCATTTCAGCTTAACATAATCTTAGCTAACCTGCAGGGATTTGAGACCAACATTAATATGTAAACACATAAGCTCTTTGCCAAGTGAAACTGAAACCTATTTTTAAAAATCATTTCCCAAACCCGCAAATTTTTAGAGGTTCTCTGAAATGTAGCCATAAAAACCCTCTTTCCCACAAACTTTTCCCTCTTTTAAACCCATTTCCATTTTTGTGGCGACAAATTTTAAACGTTTCAAATTCCACAATGCCTTAACCAAAAAAAAAAAAATAATCATAGCTTTCACACATGTTTTATATTTCTTTTTTTTTTTTGCACTTTTTCCTTTTCCCATCAATTCTTTTGCACCGCCAGGGCTAGTCGGAATATAAACAACTTAGAATTCTAGACTAGTAGTGTTCATTAACCTTTTTTTCTGGCCACAAAAACGGAGACAGCAAAACTATACCTTTCGTTCTTTTTTTTTCGTTTTGTCGAGGAGAAATGCAAATAAGTATTTGTAAACTGACCTAAGTGCTCAAGTGACTGTGATTTCTAGTTATTTCATTACAGACCCTTCGCACCCTCCCTCACCATCCATACCTTCTTTTCAACTTTGTCTGCCCTTCCCCTCCCCTCCCCACCCCCACTTTGGCATTTTTAAACATTTATATTAAGTTTTGCTTTTGGTCATTCTCTTGCACTGACATTAACACCTTCAATCTGACCTGTTTTGTCTGGCAATTACCATGGTCATGGTCTGTTTATGGTTGTTTATACATCGATAATTTAAATCTTTAATTCCATTGTGTTGATAGAATAAAAAAACTAACGAACAATAAATAGAAAATCAATAATTTCT